GGTTGGAGCAGGTTGCCCGCGCGGGCAAACCTGCTTTCACCTGTCTCTTATACACATCTAGATGTGTATAAGAGACAGGGGTAGGGGGACTAAAAAAGGGAGTAGGGCAGGGGGGACTAAAAGAGGGGGCAAAAATATCCGACACAAAGGGAAAACTTTATTCAATTAAAGCTTCAAAGTGTAAATTTAAATAAATATATATTGGAATTAGAAATATGATATCAAAGAACAATATTATTATATATTGACTTGATAATTGCTATTTTGTGAAAGTTAAGTTGGAAAAGTATCCAACACATCGTAAAAAAAATTTGATTCGCCACTAATTTCTCATCTATTATGTTCGGGGAAATGTTCTAGAATCAGAAAACGCTGGAATATTCTAGAATGAAAAAGAACATACACATCTTTCTAACTGCAGTCATTAAAATCTCTTCCGATTGAAAAAAATATACAAGAAAGAGTGGTCCAAAATTCCTATTAGCATATATTTTGATCTTGTGAACAATTATTCTAATCTTGTGAACAATTATTCTAATCTTGTGAACAATTATTCCAATCTTGTGAACAATTATTCTAATCTTGTGAACAATTATTCTAATCTTGTGNCCCTGCCCAGGTGAGCCCTGAACCCTGCCCAGGTGAGCCCTGAACCCTGCCCAGGTGAGCCCTGAACCCTGCCCAGGTGAGCCCTGAACCCTGCCCAGGTGAGCCCTGAACCCTGCCCAGGTGAGCCCTGAACCCTGCCCAGGTGAGCCCTGAACCCTGCCCAGGTGAGCCCTGAACCCTGCCCAGGTGAGCCCTGAACCCTGCCCAGGTGAGCCCTGAACCCTGCCCAGGTGAGCCCTGAACCCTGCCCAGGTGAGCCCTGAACCCTGCCCAGGTGAGCCCTGAACCCTGCCCAGGTGAGCCCTGAACCCTGCCCAGGTGAGCCCTGAACCCTGCCCAGGTGAGCCCTGAACCCTGCCCAGGTGAGCCCTGAACCCTGCCCAGGTGAGCCCTGAACCCTGCCCAGGTGAGCCCTGAACCCTGCCCAGGTGAGCCCTGAACCCTGCCCAGGTGAGCCCTGAACCCTGCCCAGGTGAGCCCTGAACCCTGCCCAGGTGAGCCCTGAACCCTGCCCAGGTGAGCCCTGAACCCTGCCCAGGTGAGCCCTGAACCCTGCCCAGGTGAGCCCTGAACCCTGCCCAGGTGAGCCCTGAACCCTGCCCAGGTGAGCCCTGAACCCTGCCCAGGTGAGCCCTGAACCCTGCCCAGGTGAGCCCTGAACCCTGCCCAGGTGAGCCCTGAACCCTGCCCAGGTGAGCCCTGAACCCTGCCCAGGTGAGCCCTGAACCCTGCCCAGGTGAGCCCTGAACCCTGCCCAGGTGAGCCCTGAACCCTGCCCAGGTGAGCCCTGAACCCTGCCCAGGTGAGCCCTGAACCCTGCCCAGGTGAGCCCTGAACCCTGCCCAGGTGAGCCCTGAACCCTGCCCAGGTGAGCCCTGAACCCTGCCCAGGTGAGCCCTGAACCCTGCCCAGGTGAGCCCTGAACCCTGCCCAGGTGAGCCCTGAACCCTGCCCAGGTGAGCCCTGAACCCTGCCCAGGTGAGCCCTGAACCCTGCCCAGGTGAGCCCTGAACCCTGCCCAGGTGAGCCCTGAACCCTGCCCAGGTGAGCCCTGAACCCCGCCCAGGTGAGCCCTGAACCCTGTCCAAAAGTAGCCTCAGCAAATGTAGCCCCAAAAGTTACCTCAGCAAATGTAGCCCCAAAAGTAACCTCGGTAAATGCGTCAGTTTCGCTGAGCTTGCTAGTGCTATTCTAGTGTCCTTGTCAGTCAGAGACTTGGTTGTAAACTGTGCTAGTTGTCCAGTTAGGTTACTAGCATGCTAGTTGGTACCCTGCTAGTTAACTTATTAAATTGAGTGTTGGGCAGCTAGTCCTGTGGTACGTTAATAACCCTGCTAGTTGACTGGCTGCGTGACTAGTTACATTGTAGTAGTCTTGTTAAAAAATTACGATGACTTTGATGTACGTTGAATTGCACTTTATTGCATTTGGATTCAGTTGATTAAAACTTCAGTTAACCGGATAAAACGCAATTTTATTTCAGCAGAGCACAGTTTAAAACAGGCACGGATAATATTTAAGCTATAGTGACATTAGGTTCATGATTGAGGAGTAGTTTACTAAATCTTTCTCACGGCACAGCCACGACTCCAGCGTTAGGGTACGCACACAGTGAAAGCAGGTTGCCAGCGTGCTGGTTACCTGCTCAGGCTGGCGCCTGAAACCATAGAACACAGAAGCCTATTCGTACAGGTTTTCACTGTGAACACTTACATTATTATCTGTCTCTTATACACATCTAGATGTGTATAAGAGACAGNGTACAGGTATGAACCTCACTGTAGGGCGGGATAGAGCGGAGTGAGTACAGGTATGAACCTCACTGTAGGGCGGGATAGAGCGGAGTGTGTACAGGTATGAACCTCACTGTAGGGCGGGATAGAGCGGAGTGTGTACAGGTATGAACCTCACTGTAGGGCGGGATAGAGCGTAGTGAGTACAGGTATGAACCTCACTGTAGGGCTGGCTGGACACGACTGACTAACCGACTCACAGCCGCTCGGACCTGACCTTGCACTACGTCGTTCCAACGACTGTAAGGTCTGACTCTAATGTTACAGGCGCAGCTTCGCCAGACGCAACAGAATAATTTCGTTACAAAAATGCACATGAGAATGAGTGATAGGATTAATCGAGCAATAAATATTAGGGAACGATGTTCATCGTTCACAGAGGTAACTCCTGTGCATGTTCCTGCAGGTGCGGGAGCTGGGGCGCGGCAGGGTGGAGAGCGGTCTCACCTTCCAGGGCTTCATGGTGATCTCGTGTCCCTTGAAGCGGGACTCGCGGGACGTCATCCGGGAACTGCAGGACTCGTCCCATGCCGTGAGTGTCGGGAGTGTCAGGAGTGTTGTGTGCCGTGAGTGGCACGAGTGTCGTGTGCCGTGAGTGTCACGAGTGTTGTGTGCCGTTGAGTGTCATGTGGTTTCCAGTGCTTTACGCCACGAGTGAACAAATGTACTTGCAATTTTTTTTTTAATTTGTGTGCTAATGTAAGATGTGCACCATTGCACCGTAGTAAGAAATGTATGAGCTGTAGCATAGTACAGTATGAAGGTACCTATGATGTTGCATCACTGTACATCACTACTGTTGTGCATCACTGTACATCACTACTGTTGTGCATCACTGTACATCACTACTGTTGTGCATCACTATACATCACTACTGTCGTGCAGACGGTGATGATCACAGGAGACAACCCCCTGACGGCGTGCCACGTCGCCAGGCAACTTCACATCACGCGCCCTGACACTACGCAGCTCGTGCTAGAGGTGAGACTACTTATAATTTATTCAATTTAATACATCACACATATTGTTTTATTTAATTTAACATACACTCAGCATACTTCCCTGTTGCTGTCTTCTAGTGTTACTTGTACACTCAGCGTACTCGATAATTGTGGGTAACTGGACAACTAGGTACGAAGTCACCTAGTGCGGGGCAGCTAGGTATGGGGACTGGGGTCACTGGATACGAGACAACTAGGTCCTTGTCTTGACCTTCGGTCCTAGTCTTGTTAGTGACAATACGACGGCGTGCTATCACCCAGATAAATGAGTGATACATTGTCCTAATAGCTATGCACTCTGTGCTCCTGAGTGGTTCATCCTGGTCCAGTTTAGCCCGGCAGAAGTGTGTATCATTGCAACATTTATTATCTGCACGTGCTGTGGGCCAGAAAGTGTTTCGCTATCAAAAAAATATGGCCCAGTTATTTCTCCCAGTGTAGCTACCTTATTTGCATCAGCATTAATTGTCACGGATTGTCCAAGTGTATTTAATGGCTGATGTGCCACAGCGCGTGGATGTGGCGGCAGGAGGCGAGGATGTGTGGGTGTGGCGTAGTATTATTACATTTATTTAATGGGCACACAGCGCGTGGATGTGGCGGCAGGAGGCGAGGATGTGTGGATGTGGCGCAGTATTGACCACACCGTCACGCTGCCTATAGACATCGAGGAGAAGTTCTTCCGAGCTTACGACTTCTGCGTCACGGGCGAGGTGAGGAATGAAGTAACGAGAATACTTGTTGATATTTTATACTGCTAATGATTTCTCATTTCTATTACTTTCAATACGTTATTTCTGTCATTTCCTCGCTTTTACTACTTTTATCTTCCCACCATTCCTCTTACCTTCAGTACTTTGTTCCACCATTCCTTTTATCTTCTGTACTTTCTTCCATCATTCCTCTTATCTTCAGTACTTTCTTCCATAATTAATCTCACTTTCAGTACTTTCTTTCACCATTCCTCTTACTTTCAGTACTTTCTTCCCATCATTCCTCATGCTTCAGTACTTTCTTCCCGCCATTCCTGTTACTTCTGGTACTTTCATGGAGCTGTTAATGTTGCAATACATTTTTTCCCGTCCTGTTATTTAATCTTGGTCCGCGAATCCTACAACTTGAAGACCAATTTCATCGCAGAAACTTAATAGTACGAGGCATGTTTTTAAGTAAGGTTCGTTTTGGAATTAGAAAAGGACGTGAAAAGATATTGCAATAATTTTATTTTTACATGAAAGCCTGTACCCTAATCTACTTTTCTACATAATTTCCGTGAATATTGAGGCTCTTGTCATAACGTGGCACCAGTTTTGATAAGTGCCTCAATATTCACGGAAATTATGTAGAAAAGTAGATTAAGGCACAGGCTTTCATCTTTTTTTAATTCCAAAACGGTCCTTACTTAAAAACATGCCTCGTATTTTAACATCCAATGAACGTTACTGAGCTATACACATCGCCACACAAGTAACACCCCCCTTGTGTTGCAGGGCCTGACCCAGCTACGTGTAACACCCCCCTTGTGTCACAGGGCCTGACCTACCCAGCTACGTGTAACACCCCCCTTGTGTTGCAGGGCCTGACCCAGCTACGTGTAACACCCCCCTTGTGTTGCAGGGCCTGACCCAGCTACGTGCTACGTGCCCGAAGCTGTGGCCGCGGCTGCTGCCGCACGTGCGCGTGTTTGCCCGCGTGGCGCCCAAGCAGAAGGAGGACGTCATCACTTCCTACAAGAATATTGGTATCACCACACTCATGTGTGGTGACGGCACCAACGACGTCGGCGCTCTCAAGCACGCTCATTGTGGTGAGTGGTGAGTGTGTGGTGTGTGTGGTGAATACTGTGGGTAGTACCGCGTGTGTGACGTGTAAAGTGAAGCGAGTGTGTAACGTGTGACAAGTTTTAACCCAAACTGCATGCATTCGTCACATCCAGACTGTTTTTTGGCAAAGTGGAGTGCTTGGTTCGAAACAGAATACAGTGTAACAAAACTACTTAGATTTTCTTTGAAGCTGCTGCATATGCAGTTGCAAATAACAGTATATAATATTTTAGACCTGTTCTTAACCATTAGTGAAGAACTGGTTGTTGAGCTTCGGGCTGAAGAGACCACACTGTCAGACCATCGACTAGTTGTGATAGAGACAAGTAGAGTGGGCACCAGCCCTGACCTAGACCTCGAGACGGCCTCCCTGGGCTAAATTCCTGCCATAGAAGAACGGACTGGGAGGCTAATAGGAACAAGAGGTTGCAAGAAGCCCTGTAAGCAATACCGTATACGACTGGGCAATTCAATGGAATTCGATAGCATCAGCTGGCCCAACTGAGGGCATCAGCTGGCGCAACTGAGGGCATCAGATGGCCCAACTGAGGGCATCAGCTGGCCCAACTGAGGGCATCAGCTGGCCCAACTGAGGGCATCAGCTGGCCCAACTGAGGGCATTAGCTGGCCCAACTGAGGGCATCAGCTGGCCCAACTGAGGGCAGATGCGCGTTAGTTTGGACTGGCCCTCGTGTCGGTGCGGACGACATTCCTGCCAAAACCCGAGTGTTGTGGCGTGTGAAAGGTGAGGGGTGACCTGTGATGTGTGACGTGTGGCAAGTGTAGGTCACGTCTTGACAGTCTTTCCCGCGTCTTGACAGGTGTTGTCACGTCTTGACAGGTGTTGTCATGTACTTCTATTGACTTGCCACGTCTTGACAGGCGATGCAACGTTCGTACATTCACTTGCCACGTCTTGGCAGGTGTTGTCATGTACTTCTATTGACTTGCCTTGTCTTGACAGGTGTTGCCATCCTCTCGAACGCCCCCGATAGACCGCCTGCCAAGAAGGCGAAGCCAACAGAGCCAGCCTTGCCACCCGCCATGTCGGAGAAGCTCGAGGCTGCCAAGAAGCTTGCCAAGAAAATTGACAAGCGGGGACTTGCTCCTGCCAACGTGCCAAGCACCAGACTCACCCCCTACCAGGTTTGCTTTGTGCTTTGTAAAGTCAGCCTAATTCCTTGTCAGACCAGCTTAGTGTCGTATCAGACCTGCCAAGCCTTCTTGTCAGACCAACTTAATATCTTGTCAGACCTTCCAAGCCTCCTTGTCAGATCAACTTAGTGTCTTGTGAGACCTTACAAGCCTCCTTATCAGACAAGCTTAGTGTCTTATCAGACCTGCCAAGCCTCCTTGTCAGGCCAACTTAGTGTTTTGTCAGACCTTCCAAACCTTGTCAGACCAACTTAGTATCTTATCAGACCAACTTAGTATCTTATGAGACCTGCCTAGCCACCTTGTCAGACCAACTTAGTATCTTACCAGACCAGCCTAGCCTCCTTGTCAGACCAACTTAGTATCTTATGAGACCTGCCAAGCCTCCTTGTCAGCCCAACTTAGTATCTTGTCAGACCTTACAGGCCTCCTTGTCAGACCAACTTGGTATCTTATGAGACCTGCCTAGCCGCCTTGTCAGACCAACTTAGTGTCAAGTCAGACCAACTTATTGTCTTGTCAGACCAACTTGGTGTCTTGTCAGAACTTCCAAGCCTCCTGTAAGACCAGCTTAGTGTCCTGTCAGACCTAAGCTTCCTTGTCAGACCAACTTAGTATCTTATGAGACCTGCCAAGCCTCCTTGTCAGATCAACGTAGTGTCTTGTCAGACGTTCCAAGCCTCCTTGTCAGACCAGCATAGTATCTTGTCAGACCTGCCTAGCCTCCTTGTCAGACCAACTTTGTATCTTATCAGACCTGCCTAGCCTCCTTGTCAGACCAACTTAGTATCATATCAGACCTGCCAAGCCTCCATGACAGACCAACTTAGTGTTGTTAGATCAACGTAGTGTCTTATCAGACCTGCCAAGCCGCCTTGTCAGCCGTTGTCTCGCCCACAGCTGCAGCAGCAGAAGGCCAGCGAGCAGCTGCAGAAGCTGCTGCAGGAGCTGGACGAGGAGCAGCAGCAGATGGTCAAACTGGGGGACGCGTCCATCGCGGCGCCCTTCACCTCCAAGCTGTCCTCCATACAGTGTGGTGAGTGTCCATCACCTCCAAGATGTCCTCCATACAGTGTGGTGAGTGTCCATCACCTCCAAGCTGTCCTCCATACAGTGTGGTGAGTGTCCATTACCTCCAAGCTGTCCTCCATACAGTGGGGTGAGTGTCCATCTCCTCCAAGCTGTCCTTCATACAGTGTAGTGAGTGTCCATCACCTCCAAGCTGTCCTCCATACAGTGTGGTGAGTGTCCATCACCTCCAAGCTGTCCTTCATACATGTCTCNCTGTCTCTTATACACATCTAGATGTGTATAAGAGACAGACACTACACTCATGTATTATATGGTGCGCAGTGGTGCACATCATCAAGCAGGGCCGGTGCACACTGGTCACCACACTACACTACACTCATGTGTCTGTATGGTGCGCTCATGTATCTGTATGGTGCGCAGTGGTGCACATCATCAAGCAGGGCCGGTGCACCCTCGTCACCACACTGCAGATGTACAAGTGTCTGTATGGTGCGCTAATGTGTCTGTATTGTTCGCAGTGGTGCACATCATCAAGCAGGGCCGGTGCACCCTCGTCACCACCCTGCAGATGTTCAAGATCCTGGCCCTGAACGCCCTCATCCTGGCGTACTCGCAGTCCGTCCTCTACCTCGACGGCATCAAGTTCTCCGACTACCAGGCAACCCTGCAGGGCCTGCTGCTGGCTGCCTGCTTCCTCTTCATATCCCGCTCTAAGGTAGGGAATGAGGGGGAGAAGGTGGGGAATGAGGGAGAAGGTGGGGAATGGGGGAGGAGGTGGGGAATGAGTGGACAACGAGGAAGAGATTGGGAATGGGGGAAGAGTTAGGCCATAGGGAAAGAAGTTTAGAAAAGAGGGCAAGAGATGGGAATAGGAGGGAGACGAGGATGGGAATGCGGGTGGGATTAGATGTGGAATGCGTGGGATGAGGTGGGGAGTAAGGAGAATGAGGTTAGGAATAGAAGGGGAGGCAAGGTGGGGACGAGGAGGAAATAGGAAGGTTTAGTTGAGGAAATAGGTGGGGACGCCGAGTGTAACTAAACGGCCGAACCATAGGCGGTCCCCGAATTTTGTTAGGGCTGAGAGTGTGAGGTAGGTTGGCCAAAGCCAAGCTAACTAAGCTCCTTAGAGGCTTAACAGACTGCACTTCAAGCCCGGCCGAAGCGAACATGAGCGGCTAACTTGCGTGCTCCTCGAGTCTTAGGCGGTGACTGATACAGAGTCTCTGTCCCGCATCCAAATTTTGTTGGGGAATTGAGTGTAGAATTTAACGAGTTAAAGGTTGAGTTGAAGGCAGTTATCAAGTTTGAGTTGAACTGCCCACAGCCGTTGCGGACACTGAGCAGAGAGCGGCCGCTGGCTAACATCTTCAACGTGTACACGGTGCTGACGGTGCTGCTGCAGTTCTGCGTGCACTTCACGTGCCTCTACGTGCTCGTGCACAGCGCCAAGGCAATCGAGCCGAACACGTGCGTCATGAAACCTATCATTAATTATTACTATTATTATTATTTGTACTTTATACTCTGTAATATTAGTTATAATAGTACTGGTGCTAAACTTGTGTGCGTCATGAAACCTATCATTAATTATTACTATTATTATTATTTGTACTTTATACTCTGTAATATTAGTTATAATAGTACTGGTGCTAAACTTGTGTGCGTCATGAAACCTATCATGAATTATTATTAGTGTTATTTGTACGTTATACTCTTTATTATTTGTTTGAATAGTAGCGTTGCTAAACTTATGTGCGTCATGAGACATATTTTAAATTATTTTTTTACGGATAATTGATTGTATAGTAAAATTGTAATTATATTGCGTAATTACAATAATTACTTGTTAAACCATGTAAAAGACCTAAAGGTTCAAATGTGTTGACGCCTTGCTATGTTGATAGCAAGAAGCCTGACCTGGAGCAGAGCTTCGAGCCGTCGCTCCTGAATAGCACCGTGTACATCATCTCCATGACGCTCCAGATCTCCACTTTCGCCATCAACTACCGGGTGAGTCGTGCTCCATGTGCTCCATATGTGCTCCAGGCCGTGCTCATGTTGTGCTCCATGCCGTGCTCCAGGCCGTGCTCCATGTGCCCCATGTTTGTGCTCCAGGCCGTGCTCCATGCTGGGCTCTGTTCACTATGCAGGCACATCGTATTCACTTACGAATGAGGGACAACAGAATTTTTCTCAAAGCAATCCCAGGTTTTATTTATTGGATTAATTCGACACAACCGATAAGTTGTGCGCAAGAGTCTGCTCATTATTCCTCATAAAGCGCCTAACTTGTTCTCATTCTCCCGTACGTGTGCCACCGACCTCAGTAACGCTCTTGTGCCTTTAGGGGCGGCCCTTCATGGAGAGCCTGCGGGAGAACAAGGCCCTGTTGGGGTCGCTGCTGGGGACGGGGGGCCTGGTCATGGCCCTCGCCCTGGGCCTCATCCCCGCCTTTGCTCAGCAGTTCGAGATCGTCGACTTCCCCCCTGAGGTGCGTGTCTGTTGTGTAACGTAACAAGAGTATAACGTATGGAGGTTAAAACTATTGAGGGTGTAACGTATGAACATTATAGCTATTAAGGGTGTATGTAACGTATGGAGGATATACCGTGGGGGCAAAAAATATCCGATACAATGGACAAACTTCATTTAAAGTTTATGCAACAAAATAACATAAACAAACACTAATCTAATGTAAACTTACATGGGAAATACAAATATATCAAAACAACAATATCATTAAATGTTGACTTCATATTTGCAATTTTGTAAAAGTTAAGGTTCAAAAAAAGTATGAAATTTTTCCTTTGTGTCGGATACTTTTTGCGCCTACTGTATATAACATATTTAGGATATAACTTGTTAATGTTATAAGGTAAAGTATAGTACTGAATATGGCATGGGTCCATCTCAGAAGATGTGGGTTGCGCCCCGCTTGTGACCGCACAACTCCCTGTTGGCAGCGCCTCGATTGGCTCTCAATCCGACTTTGGCATGACAATCTCGACCGTATTTAAAATAAACAAAGTCTGATGGTGTGAGGACCATCTGTGCCTCCTGTTTGACTTTCCGGACTGACTTTCCCGTCTGGCATTTGTGTCTCCTGCCTGACTTTCCCGACTGCGCAGCTCTTCCGGACTCCCTCCCGAAGGGCCCGGCCTCAACCGCAGCGCTTGTCACTAAGCTGCTACAAGGTTTGGGGATATTTGGAGGCTTCCTTAAAACGCAGTGCCGGGCGGCCAGTTGGAGACACACCAGAGACTAGTTATCCATAGAGTAATTCCTTGTTAATGCGACGTCGTACATGCGATACACGTGGCAGAGTCTTAGCAGACGACGCTAGCACAGGAGGAGAGGAATGCTTATTGTGCCTGCTCGTTCCAGAACAGAAGTGTTTGTGACCCTGACTTCCCATGTGATGTTGAGGATACGCTCAGGTGGAAATATTACAGATGGTTCTCCTGTTTTCACTGCTGTACAGAAGTATATTGAGGACGTAAGCCTGGTACCATACACTTTGAGCGTAAGCCGCTTGTTTGACCATAAACTCTCGTTCAGTCTGGCCATCACACGTGCAACTTTGGCCATCCTCCTGTCAATCTCGCTATCGAGGGACAGGTTACGGCTGATGGTGGAGACAAAATAGGTTAAATACTCGGTGATTTAAAATTCTTCACCGTCACTTGTGATAGATGGGTATGCTGAAACGCCCTAACCAATGAAGTTTGTTTCCTTGATGCCGATTGTCAGGCCGAAGTCCCGGCAGGCATGGACGAAGCAGTCCATCAGCTATTGGAGGACCTCTTCGGTATGGGAAGAGAGAGCTGCGTCATCAGCAAAAAGCAACTCTGGTGAGGACGGTGCGGACCTTGGTTCTTGCACTCAAATGAGCCGAGTTGAAAAGTTTACCATCACTTCTGGTGTGGAGATGAATGCTCCCAGTGAAGTCCCCAAACGTATACTTGAGCAGTAGTGAGAAGAAGATGCCGAAGAGAATAGGGGCCAAAACACGCCATCATTAATTCTGTTTCTAAGAACTCTGAGGTATTGCCATCGTAGCTGACTATTCCCTTCATGTCTTCGTGTAAGTTAAAGAAGTTGCTGAGAAGTTGGGGGTGGGCAACGTATCTTCTCCAGCTACAGGAACTGACTTTTCCGCCTGACAAGATCAAACGCTTTTGTCAGATAAATGAACGCGATGTACAAAATCCTCCGATGCGCTCGACATTTCTCCTGAAGCTTGTACAAGAACAAAGTCATTTTTCCTGTACACATCTGAGCCCTGAAACCACACTGGGTTTTTTTTTCTGCGAGTGATTGCGGGCGTACAAGAGCCGCACAGACGAAGAAGACCTTACACACGATGCTGAGTAGCTGTATCCCCATGAAGTTGTTGCAGTCGCTGCGTTCCCTGTGTGGGTTTACGATATGACGGGTATAGTGTATAAAGGGTAGAACGTAAATATTATAAAGAACATAGGTATGTGTAACGTGTGTGTCCCTACGCCTCACTCATCTCCTCCTCCGTAGTTCCGGGTGCTGCTGGTGCAGGTGCTACTCGCTGACGTCAGCCTGAGCTTCCTGGCGGACCGCATGTGTCTCTTCCTCTTTGGGGAGGGCAAACTGAGGGCGGACCTGCGGCGCTGACGTCAACCCCCACATAGGGAGGGCTGACGGCGATAGACGTACGCTTTTGCTGCATCGTGTTCATCATTGACATCATCGTCAGGCCCCCGATGATGGCTTGGCGATGATAGGTTTAATGTTCTTTGTGATTCTGTACAAGTTAAGGCAATGAAGGCCTGGAGAGCATTTCTGTACATTTCCATAAGTTAAGCTTTGATGTATTCCCCCCTTCCTCCTTGGGGGTGTGATTTCTTGTCCCTTGGAACGCGTCCCCCCTTGTTGGGGGTTGCCCCTCCTTGTCTCGTACAGAGACGAGGGTCGGAGTTCGAGGCTCCTGAGGTGGGTAATTTTAAATCTTATACGTTTTTAATACTACGAAACATTGGTGTGTGTGTACTGGTGAGGATACGGAGGACTTCTTTCTGCAACTGCGGACCCAAACTGCGGTCTCCAACTTCGGTCTCCAACGTCGGTCTCCAATTTCAGCCCATAACTTCGGCCCCTAACTTGGTCTCCAACTTCGGTCCCAACTTCATTCCCCAACTTCAGTCCCCAGCTTCAGTCCTCGACTTCGGTCTCCATCTTCGGTCCCAACTTCATTCCCCAACTTTTGTCCCGCGTTGAGAGGTGGACAGCGCTGTGCTCGAGTTGTGTAAATTATTTCTGTCTCATTTGTGTATCGCGATGTATGGTATGTCTATGTTGTTGGGTGCGTGTAGCGTGATGATTGTAACGTACGTGGTGAGTGCACAGTGCATGATGCGTGCGACCAGCACTACATTTCACTCGACGTTCGTCCACCAAGTTGTCCGCATTTGGTATCCGTGAGCTCGGTAAATAAACTTACTTGTGCTTGGGCCTTTTGATTTCTCCCTTCCTGAAGTAGGCTGCCTGAACAATACGTTTGTGGTCACTTGATTAGAACGGCTAGTTTTATCAATGGTTATGCCGAGGTGGCAGGACTTAAAAAACGTACGAAAATGCGACAGCCAAAGTGTAGAACTGCAAGCCCGACACTACGGCGCCAAGTCTGCCATAGTCGTAAGTTTTAAGGTGATTGATAATGCTTTGCACTGCTAACACCTGAACGGTTTCAATTCCAAGACTCAAAGTCTGCTTAGCAAAAAAATAATGAAAACGTCGCCATGTCATAACCTTTGCTAGAAAGCAATACCACAAACAGGTGTTCAGTAGCTCGATCATGAAACTGGAACTCGTTGCACGATCAAGTTGATAAATAAGACTCAAGCCCCGTTCACACGCTCAAACTTCTCGTCAGTCTTGCACGTCATGCCAAGTTTGACATGCAAGACGGGGCGTGTGGACGCTTAACTTTGACGTCTTGCATGACGGTTGGGCAGAGTTTTGAGGCTTTGAGAAACCTAGACAAGACAGACGGGCGAGACCTTCAGGTTCATGCAAGACTGACGACAAGTTTGATCGTGAGGACGGACATCTGTCTAATCGGTCAAACTTCTCCCGCTTCATCCGTATTGTGGTTGAGTGCTTTGGCATTAATTGCTAGATCTAGTTTTGCAAAAAAGAAAACGTACTTGATATACAACACTGGTTGCATGATTTCTTATAAGAGTTCATAGATATTGACGGCAGTTTTCCATGCCCGTGGTAAATTAAATCGATAGGCTACAGTACACTCTAAAGGGAATCTAAAAAGCTCTGACCGATGCTACTTGGATAAGTGCGATGAAATAGATCCTATAGATTCATAGATATCGAAACAAAGAAAATCATATTTCCAACGGCTCGTCGAAAATAATGTATCAAAAAAATTATTTATCATTTGAGAATTTTGCCAAACTTCGGCATGCTAGACTGACGATAAATTTGACCGTGTGGACGGGCTTCAAATGCGAGTTAAATAACAAACAGTCCACTCGTCGCGGCCTCATATTTGGACAAGGCAATTCTATGTAATTCTTCCCACGCTGGCTGGAGCATCATAAAGTTTGTAGGAGTTTAAACGCTGTTCACTTGGCGAGTAGCACTGGTCCATTGTGACTAGTCGGCTCGGTCTGGTGAGAGACGCGATTAGGTCTCGATTACGAGTGGCTTCTCTTGTTCGGCGCGGTCACTAACATCATAGCGATGTGTTACACGATGTAGTGCAGGGGGTGGCAGCACACGGTCACTAACATCATAGCGATGTATTACACGGTGTAGTGCAGGGGGTGGCACCACACGGTCACTACCATCATAGCGATATGTTACACGATGTAGTGCAGGGGGTGGCACCACACGGTCACTGACATCATAGTGATGTGTTACACGGTGTAGTGCAGGGGGTGGCAGCACACGGTCACTGACATCATAGCGATGTGTTACACGATGTAGTGCAGGGGGTGGCAGCACACGGTCACTACCATCATAGCGATGTGTTACACGATGTAGTGCAGGGGGTGGCAGCACACGGTCACTAACACCATAGCGATGTGTTATATGATTAGACAAAGACTGAAAACAAACACAATTCGTGAAGTAAACGCAATGATGTTTGTATTATCAAGCGCAATATATTGTTTATTGGTCAATTCTGAAAGGGTTTTCCGGGTAATTAAGAAGGCGCTACACAACTAATTAATCAGTATTCGATGAGAGACTAATTATTTTGTTTAAACACGTGTTCAAATAAATTTATATCAGTGAATTTTTATGTCATTAATTGCACGGGTTCAAACATACTATTTATTAATCAATGCGCAATTTTATTTAAAACATCATGAAAATATTACCCGTCAAGTTATGGAATAGCGGTTTCAGCGTTTATTAGGCCGTAGGCCTGTCGCCGATTCTTAACATAGCAGAACAATCACAGCATTTTGCGGTCTCAAACTCGCAACTCACTGCTACAATTCTGCTGTGCTTAACCGCCCGGCCTCCTTGCCGATTCTGACCAGAAACTGGCGCACAGAGCTGGGATCGAACCCGCGCCTCTCTGCGCCAATCTTGGTACTCTGAACTTTAACCATTGATGTGTTACACGATGTAGTGCAGGGAGTGGCACTACACTGCCATTAACACGTAACACCATAGAGATGTGTTACACGATGTAGTGCAGGGAGTGGCACCACACTGTCACTAACACGTAACACCATATTACCATTACCTCATACCATTAACTCATAACATTACCTCGTACCATTACCTCATACCATTACCTCATACCATTACCTCATACCATTACCTCACACCATTACCTCATACCAGTACCTCATACCATTACCTCACACCATTACCTCATACCACTGGTCGTTGTTCAGTACCATTTCGCATTTGTGCTGCTTTATTTTGTTTACGGTTGATATTCCCTCGATATTCGCACCGAGCAATTTTAAGAAATGTGCTTTAAACTACAACTCAGTAAACTTATATTATGAAAAAATTCAGAATTTGCAAATAAGGAATCAGAAGTTGCCGTATTTGCCTCCTAAGCAGTTTGTGTACGGACATCAAAGACCGAAACTTAGCCGCTGACTTGGCGAAAATTTAAAATTCACGCCGGAGTCTATAATGGATATTACCTGAGAAAAACGTGACGGCCCAGTATTAAAATTTTAGTATCATAGAAAGTCAATAAGAACATAGAAAATTTACATGTAAAAATTTCGTGTGACGGCTAATTTTGTGCACAATTTTATAGTATATTAATTTCAACAGTCGTGCCAAAACTTAACGCTCTTTTAACCGCAACGCGTAGCCGATGACGTCAATAGCGTGCGTAAATTATAAAGCGTGCAGAAGTTGTATGCCTTCGTGTAGTTCGCGATTGAGACACACGCAAAAGGTTATTTAATTATTCGGTAAAAGTTTCAAGTGAATAGTTGAATGGCAGTTAATCATGAGCCGCTCATAATTAGCTAACGTGGCAAACCTTGAACTCCCATAGCTGATTGCAGAAATTGTGTTGAAAGGAGTGAGCTAATAAGCGCCAGCCATGCATCAAGGTGTCCGGGCATCACAGCTGCCTGACTTTCAAACTAGCTTCATGATCATTTTTCACTCAGTAACGACTGCCGCTAAAAATCGACCATAGCTGCGACGCTAGCAATAGTGCCACGTTCCAACAACGTAGACTGGCACTCCCTCCGCAACAACAATCCATATGAACTGAGAGGTTACTTGTAGCAGTTCCTTGAATATTATTATCTACCTTTATGATGAGTATTTCTTTATGCAAGAGGAAGATAAAGCATTAGGAACTGAGTGATATATGATGACTTCACTTGAATGTGAAGACGTTAGTTGATTATCGTAAATCAGTTATTGCGGTAGCTCCTAAATTCTGGAAACAATAAAAATTATTTTAAAATCGTGAATAATCTTAGTTGCATCAAATGTATTCAGAATTATTTCCTCGAATAAAATTAAAGTTTGTTCAGCATGACGTCATAGCCAAGGCATGGCGTTTAAAACACTCACAGATTGCTCAGTGGTAGCGAGAACGCGAGAGTGTGTAGTGGTCTGTGTCGGCTGTTGTGTCGTCCGCGAATTTGGCAGGCTAGTGGTGTTCAAATGTTTGAATTTAAATATTTGTGGGCTGTGCCAAATATCCCATGACGTTTCTCTGATAAATGTCTGTGTGCGTTTACGTGGCACCATGAAGAAACGGACTCTAAAGCACGTTCTTGATGGATTTCGTTCATCCGTGGCGCAACCTAGCGCCAAAACCGAACACGTCCCTATTGTTGAAACACTTCGACCTGAACACTTCCAGGTTGCAAAGGTATATATAATATATTTTACATTAAAATGTAGTTTGATATAAAATTTTTTCGATTTACAAAGAAAAATCATAATATTTGTAAAACTTTGGAGTTTGGACCAGAGGTTCATGATTGTGTGAACGCGCTCGCATGAGCTGAGTGCTGTCAGATATAGCTACGTATGAACAGGTGAACTGATTAGATGACTTTCATGTTAACACAGCTGACGAGCAGGGGGCTGCGAGAGCATCGTTCTCTGTATTTTGACAGCTGACAAAAATGATAGGTTCTTTTTACTTCTCAGTTGCCAAACCATTGTAATCTGGGAAGTGCGAATATTCTACCCTTGATGAGTTGATGTTGCCAAGTTCGTGGCTAACAGCTGGAGTGCCTATGCAATGCGGCTCAATTACGAGCTTTACTATTTTATACTGCTACTGCGCGCTATCAATTTAGTCTGTAAATAAGTTAATAAATAAAATTTTTCCATTATATCTAGAAAACAAATTTGCTGCAGCTCCTTTTATGTATCAATCGTAACACAATTTTTTTACAATACTCGGAGATCGTTTATTTTCATCATATCAGTTCACTTCCCTGAACACTGATGGGTCTGCTATGTCACAGCCTCACAGGATATGTTCTAGCTCTTGTTGCTTTTTCCTCCTAGCCTGTGAGTAGTATGTTTCATCTGAAATACCATGAAGTATGATGATTTCATGGATATTTATATCTAGATGACTAGAATTAGCTCATAGGTTGTCATACTCATAGCAACAATAGCAATAGCATAATAATATTATGCACAATTCTTCTGCTGTGTGTCAAGAAAAGATGGCATTTAATTTTGTTATGCTTGTAAAATTTGCTCAAATTGAGGAAGCTTGTGGGCAGTATATACGGTATTATTGCAGATTAACTACATCCAAAAAAAAGGGTGTTTTTTTTTTTAATTATATGTTTTTTGGGGTGTAGATTACGAATCTGAAATCCATTTTTGGCGGTCGGCATCGGAAAACCGATTTTTTTCGCGACTTACTAACATGGGGGTTACGTAACTTACGTTACCCACTCACCTTTATTTACTAACATGGGGGTTACGAAACTTACGTTACCCACTCACCTTTATATAAAGGGTCGGATTGTTCATCGAAATTTTACAAAAAGCTCTTAGGTTGGGTTAAGTCAGCCAAGTTCCTTTTTTTAGATAGCATTTTGATCTAAAAGGAACCTGGGCGAACCAACCCAACCTGCGAGTTGGCGTTAGGTTGTGATCTCTCGATGTGGCAATGTATCTCCAGATTTATGGACAAAGAAGACGAAAATGTTACCCGTTGCACGGTTGCAGTGCAACTGGTAACATTTTAGTTCAAAAATGTTTTCCGATTTTTCGCCGATTTCGCAGATTTTAGGCATTTTTAGCGCGATTTTTGGGTCGGAAAAAAATCGGTTTTCCGATGCCGACCGCCAAAAATGGATTTCAGATTCGTAATCTACACCCCAAAAAACATATAATTCAAAAAAAAAAACACCCTTTTTTTTGGATGTAGTTAATCTGCAATAATACCGTATATACTGGTGTTACTATTAGTGGGGTAGAGGTGGTGACTGAATCTAGTTCTAGTGCCCAACTGCCCATAGCACCAACTAGTTGTCTTTCTCTTCATTTGAGACTTTGAGTTGTATATATACAATTGTAGACCAGATTTCCTAATAAATGCTATAATCTTGTGGCTAAAAAATTACAGCTTGTTATATATTTAGAATCTTGCTGCTTGATTATGCACTATTTACAATAATTAATTAAATATAATTCATTGAGCAGGAATCTCGAGGCTCCAAAAAAGTTGGAAGCCCTATTTATGGCTTGGAAAGGAGATATTTTCCATGCCAGTATTGGTGATGGTCAAGAATTAATATTGACATTATATTTATTTTTAATCACAATTCTGGAGTGGGATGGATCTTTGTGTGTGCTGATTTAATGTCAAGAATGTTTGAGAACAAAGCACAGTTCTTGAAATGCTTGCTGGTTTGTGGCTCTGATATCTCTGAAGCTTAGCATGGGCTTGGTTGCCTGTTAAGATTTTACCATGGGCAGGAATGGTTATTTATTTCATTTTGGAGACAAAATTCAAAATGCATAATTTCTTAAGTATGAATTTTATACTGTATTTCCATTTAGCCAACAACCATCACAGCTCCTCTCACTCCAGCGGCCAGCCTATGTTGATACCACGCTATTGGCATGTGAACTCCTTTCTGTAGCAGTGAGCTAGAAGCAAAGTTTCATTTATTAACATTTTAAGGTCTCAACTGTAAGGCTATAAAACTAATTTTAGATTTAAACAAACACTAAAAGCTTTATAGATATGGATGACAGCCCTTACTTTTCTGGAGACTGAGCTCTTTGCTCAAGAGGCTTAAACAATTTGCAAAAATTGAAGTGATAATCAAAGTTCACATGCTTTTTTTTTCATTTTATTATCTTAAATTGATTGGGTATGGTCATAGAAGAATTAAAAATGGAAATTATTGGGAGAGTTCCATCTTAAGCTCAATGCTGCATGGCCATCTCAGTGCAGAAGCAGTTACCCTTGTGACTGTTTTCTTCAGTCTTGATTCATCAACAAATTGAAATCCATGCTATATGTCCAACCAAATCTTTTATTCCAGATTTCATGTGTACCAGTAAAAAAATTCACTTTTATTATTCAAGCTTGACAATAAAAGGCCATACATTTGAATTGACCTGAATTATAATACATTCATGTATCTGTTCAAATGGACCCAAAGGAACAGTGTGAAGGCTGTATGACCTGATGATGTTGATCCACTGCACCACAACCCTTCTCTAAAAAAATCCCAGTCAGATTTCATCTCGAAAAATCATCTCCCCAGAAGCTGGGTGTATCATTTCAAAATTCTTCAACCCATCAACTAAATGTATATAATTCATAGAAGAGCTAGGCATATTTGATTCTTGTGTACTTGTTAATTATGTAATTCTTATCTAATAGTAAACTCTACAGAGTTGTTATTATACATTAAAGTTGTTTGCTTGTGTTGTTTCTACTTGGGCAATTGAATGATTGAATGTTGACGATGTTGAATCTACCTGATTGAATGTTGATGATAGTTTCTACTTGGGTAATTCTTCTATCAAGCAACTTGAGTTATCTTGAGCCATGAAACTTTTATCCTCTTCTTTAACATTTGTTGCTTATTTGTCCTGCTGCAACAGGTGTTATAGCAGTTGTTGTATTATTAATACATCAATCTGGTACATTAGTTATTTACATTCAAGTTATTTATGTGGTATGTATTGCTATATCAACTAATGATACAACAAATATTGATATTTGCGTGAAAGTGGTGTGTAGGGGAGGACATTTTTACAGGCTACCTGTCAACATTGCTGGCAGGACCTTGTCAACATTGCTGGCAGGACCTTGTCAACATTGCTGGCAGGACCACTGCTGGAATTGTTCATTACACATTCATTGGTAACGTACACCAATCATCACACACATCATACATCAATCATCACATGCACATCATTCATCACATACATCAATCGTCACGTACATCATTCATCACGCGCATCATTTATCACAAAGAAATGAAGAGTGACAATCATTGTATTCCCAAGCCTCCTCATGTGGTGAACAGATGCTCATTCCTCTGGTACAGCTGATATCGTTGTCAACCGCCTGACTTGGTTGTGCCAGACGACGTTTGTGTTCAACACGCGCAGTCAAGCATTAACCGTGTGGTGCTACGTTACCGTGGACCAGCTGTGTGCCACGTTACCGTGGACCAGCCGTGTGCCACGTTACCGTGGACCAGCCGTGTGCCACGTTACCGTGGGCCAGCCGTGTGCCACGTTACCGTGGGCCAGCCGTGTGCCACGTTACCGTGGGCCAGCCGTGTGCCACGTTACCGTGGACCAGCCGTGTGCCACGTTACCGTGGACCAGCCGTGTGCCACGTTGCCGTGGACCAGCCGTGCGCCACGTTACTTCGTCCTGTGTGCCACGTTACCGTGGACCAGCCGTGTGCCACGTTACCGTGGTCCAGCCGTGTGCCACGTTACCGTGGGCCAGCTGTGTGCCACGTTGCCGTGGACCAGCCGTGTGCCACGTTACCGTGGGCCAGCTGTGTGCCACGTTACCGTGGACCAGCCGTGTGCCACGTTGCCGTGGACCAGCCGTGTGCCACGTTACCGTGGGCCAGCCGTGTGCCACGTTACTGTGGACCAGCCGTGTGCCACGTTACCGTGGACTAGCCGTGCGCCACGTTACCGTGGACTAGCCGTGCGCCACGTTACCGTGGACCAGCCGTGTGCCACGTTACCGTGGACCAGCCGTGTGCCACGTTGCCGTGGACCAGCCGTGCGCCACGTTACTTCGTCCAGCCGTGTGCCCAGTTACCGTATAAAGCTCGTCCCGTGAGGGCGCTGCGCACCGACCAGTACGAGTGTTTACCCGACCGCTGAGAATTATTAGATCCAGAAATTTTATCTTAGAGATTCCTGGCAAGACCTCGCTGACAAATGGCCGCCTTCTGCTCCCTCCCTAGCAGGGGCCACGGGTGCAAATCCCGTGATAAATTAGGCCTGATGAGAACAGCGGCCTGTATCACCCTATAGCTGCGGCCTGCATCACCTGCTACAGCTGCGACCTGCATCACCTGCTACAGCTGTGACCTGCANGCCTGTGCGTACAGCTGGCGCCAGGCTGTGCGCTCACACCAGGCTGTGCGTACAGCTGGCGCCAGGCTGTGTGCTCACACCAGCCTGTGCGTACAGCTGGCGCCAGCCTGTGCGCTCACACCAGGCTGTGCGTACAGCTGGCGCCAGGCTGTGCGCTCACACCAGGCTGTGCGTACAGCTGGCGCCAGGCTGTGCGTACAGCTGGCGCCAGTCAGTGCGTTCATGCGCCTGTGCGTACAGCTGGCGCCAGTCTGTGCGTTCATGCGCCTGTGCGTACAGCTGGCGCCAGTCTGCGTTCATGCGCCTG